GTAATGATATGACTGCAAATGGTTCAGCTAAAGACTCAATAACGGCCGAAAGTGGGAATGCGAGAAGCACATAGTATGGGAGATCATGGCTTGAAGAGAATGTCTGCCAGAAAAATATACAAAACACGCTTAATATCAGCGCCATCAATGGACTGAAACAAAAGAATTATTGCAGTGCAAACTAAAAATCCAACAAAGCAAAAAAAAATTAGAAATTCACCTGAGCCATATCAGGTTAATGAAAGACGGTAACGAAGATCTCAAAATATTTGCTTTCCGCATGGGCTCCCGCGTTAAGAACAATATTGTGTTGTAAAGTAAAAATAACCTGAAATCTGACAACTGAGAGAATGCAAATTTATCCTGTTATGGTAAGCTTTACATAACGTGGTGTAAACCATGATGAACTTTGGCTTCTAAACGCACCCACTGCAATCATTGCATAAGATGGAAAAGAGAACCCGTGCCTGCTCACATTGTTATTCCTTGATGAATGTCTTCGGAATAGATTTGAGAACAGAGATCTCAGTTATCTAAAGATCCCAGAGATTTGGCGAGTTAGGGCGAAACTTCAGTGTCGGACGGGACTCGAACCACTACTTGTGCTCTCCGGGAAAAGTGCTGCGGCGAAATGACAGCAGTTAACAAAACAAATTATTAAGTCAAGACGTACATAGATGGGCTCTACGAGGACCACTGACGACATCAAAAACTCTTACTCTACTACGCAATACTACAAAGTATTTCTAGAATGCCTATGATCGCACAAATGTGTAGTTCTGAATGGTGACCAAACCTGATAAAAGAATGTATGACGTGGTAACATCAAAACTGAAGCACTTATAGCTTACCGTACGTTAACAAGACCAAGTACATCGTTATCGACCACTCTCAGCAAATACATATTAATACCGAAAGAGAGAACTCGGGCCATTAGCTGAAGAAGTGTTGTAATAGACATTATCACTTCAATTTAAAAGTACAAAAGTAACGAAAAACTCACTTGACCACTGAAGTTCATTGCAAGAGATCGAGCCAGAGACATTTTCAATCGGCTAGTCCTTAAAAGAACGAGTTCATATTGAAGGATCATTGTAAAAAGTTGATGCAAAAGTTTGGAGACACTCGGATACACGTTTCAGGATCTCTCACAATTTCGCTTCAACTCCTACTCATTAGACAATATGACTACCCATGAGCATGAGATTTCTACGAGTAAGCTAGCCGTCTATTTCCTTCTCCCAAAAAGAGGGAGACTGCGAGTCAAAGAAGTAAGCAACAGCACTTTGAGGCCACCAAAAGTGGTGAGCTTGTTCTTAGCAAAGAACTGCTTGAAGTGCCTAAAAAGGTAGTGCGATAGAGAGG